GAAATCAATTTATTGGCTGCAACATAGTCTAAATAATGGAAGAGAAAAGACTGATGGGAATAAAGGGGTCTATTACATTGTAAAAGTGAACATGGTTCAGTGAAACTTTGTTCTGTCTACACACATGAACCTACATGTGTGTTATGTGTGTTTCATGTTTCTATGGAGTCATGATATGAAGTTTATTCCTGAGGGCATCTGACAAGAGCTCAGATCAGAAGCTGCTGGTGGAGAGCAGGTCAGTGATGTCTGAATTTCAGTTCTGATGCCACCATAAGTTGCCGAGTACATTACTTAAATCTGTCTGAGCACCAAATAGGTATTTGAAGTCTATGGGACATTGTTCTCTGTGTTCTGTGTTTGGGAGTTACGATGGGAAATGTGAACCACCTCCCCACCAAAGCACAGGATCCACCTTTCTCCAGCATTTCAAGGCTCTGAGACTAATTGATAGACAGGTGTTTGGGTAAAAAGAGACATCGTGGAAGCTCTGTGCTTTCAACTCTTCAGGTGTTCGTGGAATCTAGGTTTTTAACTGACGACCTCCATCTTGGGATAGAGTAAACTTCAACTGGATCTCTCAGGGAGGAGTGAGGAGGCACAATACATACTCAGTCATCTCACAGCATCCCCTTGATGGATAATTACAAAGTGAGGCTGCTGCTGGTCCCTTCTGAACCTGTTCCTTTATTCACAATGCCCCTGTTTTCGCTCTGAGCAGCATGCCCCCTCCCATGTTAAAACATTTTCAAACCACCTAACATTCTTCAATTCTTCCTCGATAGCTGCCCACGCAGGTGGTAAAGTCAATAACAAGTAGTTACATATTCACATAGTCTCTTCCCATGTAAAATGGGAGCTCTTATCCCTGGTAAAGGATTTTGTTTTTTTTACATTAGCAAAGTACTTGGGGTGGCAATAAGGTTAGAGCCCCTTTCCGTAACTCATGAAGAACTGTACCACTCGTCTTGACAGGTCAGCTTCACTGGTTTAAGAAGTGCCTAGCAGATTAGTAAAGCCTGCCTCTCTGGGTGTGTCTGAGTGGCTCATGGAGGCATAGCCTTGGATACTACATAGAGCCTCTTGCCTGCTCCCCTCTGCCAGGTCCCCCTGTGCTGCTTCCTGGCTGCCATTAACCAAGCATCTTTGCTCCTCCAGACCTTTCCACCATGATGTTTCTGCCTTGGAGCTGGCATCCCATGGACTGAATCTCTCGAAACTGTGAACTAGATTACACTTTTCTGCCTTTAAATTGTAGATGCTAGGTTTTATGTCTCAGCAATGATAAAGCTGACAAATGTAAAAGCGGTTGATGGTCCTAACCATGATGATGGCATAATAAAGTCAAACTAGGACAGTCCCTATGACAGCACACATCATCCCCTAGGAAGGGATGTGCAGGCATCTAAAGTAAAATAGGTTCTGAGGTGCATGCCATTTGCCTTCAGTGTTTCCTGTTCCATTAAAGTGTCACTCTTCATGCCTTGGACTCTAATTCCGCAAGGCTCTCTTCTAGGTACCCAAGTGTGTCCATCTGATCCATTTCAGAGCTCCACTTTCCTGCAATCCTTAGGCTCCAGCCCCTGCCCATCTCCTTATCATCAAAATCCTATGTCCCATCCTGTTCAAGTTCTTTTCCAGTGCCAGACCACATGCAACTATAATCTAACCAATACCAGGGATTCTGGTATTGAAGATGGAGAGAGATTCTTACATGAAACAATTGTCTCTAAGGGTGGAGAGCTCAGTTTCTGGGGAAGCCCAGGGTGATGATATTTGGTGATGAAATCAAGCTGTAAGTATTCCTTAAGTCAGTTTATATTTTCACTACTTTCTATTGGTGCAGAATTAAGCCCTATTGGGAATAAAGATGGCCTTTGGCTTCAAGAGTTTACAATGAAGATGAGGTATCTTAGGTGTCAGGAACTTTTACCTACCACTTTAAATCATCTTATCTAATCATACGAGATAATATCTTTATAGATAGGAATCAAAGCGCAGCAAAGCAAACTGTTCTCCCTGGTCTCAATACACAAAAACAAAGAGGGAGCCAGAGTCTGGTCTGAAGCGGGTCTGAAATGGTGTTCTTTCCAAGATTACATGCTGTGATGGAATCAGAGACCCAGAAGCTAAGCGAGTGGAGTGCAGCACAGGACTGATGAGGAAGGGCTGGGAGGTTAGAGAAGATGGAGAGCCAGGGCCTGGGATATGGAAGGACGTGAGGACTGGTTATGAAAATGCTTTCTAGCAGAGCTGGGAAGTGGTCTTGGTTGGTGGCTTTCCACTGCAGCCACCAACATTTATTCTACCATACTCTTTTTTATTTATGTTTCCTTTTGCAATGCTGGGGACGCCCGGCACCTTGGGCATGCTGGACAGGCACTCTAGCACCGAGCCAGATCCCCAGGCAATCCACCTAAGCTGGCAGAGAAAGGTCTCCTGGGGTTCACGTTAAGACTTGGGAATAAGGAGGACAATGTGCTGGAGGCCAAAGGGAAGACCATGAAGGGAATGAAAGGTGTCCTTTGTGGGCCACTTTCTCTTTGATGTCACTGTGGTCAGCTGAGGGAAAGACAGCCAAAAAGGCAGGAGGTAGTGTCCCTCTAGAGCAACAGGAGCACACCCAACCTCTCCTCAGTCACTTGGAGCCATTGCCCAGGTGGAGGGTGTCCAGGCCCCGGGGGTTCCAGGCTGGGGGCCTTTCCTTAGTGCCCTCGTGGGGTGCTGCTTGCGAACCCATGGGGAGTGTGGCAAAGGAGGTGGCAACTCCCCTTCCCTTCCTGGAATCCTGACCAGTTTCAATTTACATAACACAGCTTAATCCACAGAAACAAGAGCTGCTGCAAGGCAGGTTTTCTCTCTTTTTTTCTCCTTTCCAAGACATGGAAACCTTTATTTTCTCCCTACACCACAAACCGGTGCTGTTAAATAATATTGGATAATTGCACCTGCCGTACTCCCCATATTGTGCCGAGGGAAAATAATTGCTGGTTTTCTACTTTGCCATTTAGCTGTGACTCCGTCATTTGACTCGGAGCGTGTCATTTTCTCCCATTTTAGACTGTGTACAGTCAAACTGTGTGAAAGAACTCCCAGATAGCGGCCCTGCGTGTGTGAGTGGGCGCGGGCCTCATTCAGCAATGATTTCTAATTTATACAGCATTGAAAATCCACAGCTATAAATAAACACCTCTGACTGGCTCTGCTGCCTACTCAAATGCTTTATTAAAAAAAGAAGAAGAAAAAGCCAGCCTCACCACCAGCTACATGAGAAAGGAAAACAAGACTGTCTGGATGTAGAATGGGGCGTGTGACTCCTCCTGGGCCAGGCAGGGAGGACTTCAACCCTGGGATGGGCTCAGGGCTCAGCCTGCATCCCCGGCGAGGCCCAGCCTCGCCAGGCTCTCCGGCCCGCTCGCTCTGTGCTACACGTGCAGGCGCAACGTGTGCTGGGGGATTACAGTATATGAAACCCGCTTCCTGTTATGACAGATACTGCAAGCAAGTAGGTGCAGAGCAGCTCAAAATAGCTTGGGAAATGTGTGACCCTTCTGGGGAGAAGAAGAGGTAGTGGATTGTTTAGGCAGCCAGAGGCGTCTTCCACCCCCATTTAAAATTGGTTGCACATGTGCGATGGTGACCTGGGAACAGGAGCATGGATGTGGGCCAGTCCTGGGGTAGGGGAGGGTTGCTCCTCCCTCTGCGGGGATGAGGTACAGTCTCTGCCAACCAGAGAGCCCCCCCACTCCCCCTCTATCCCCAGCATCTTTTCTTGTCCAGTTTTGCAGATGTGCATACTTTTTTGTTTAAAGACTTTCAGATGACCAGTTATGGCTTTGACCCCTGACACAAAAAAGGTGGGAGGTGGACTTGGGAATTGAATTATCTGTGTGACTCTGCACCTGTCATTTTCCTGCTTTAAACTCAGAGCTTAATTTTTTCCCCCAGAGAGTTAGTTATTAAATATTTACCAGCTCAATATTACCAGAGCTTGGTTTTCACACTGTAAAGTAACGGCACAATACATTGTCTACTTGCAAAATATTATGAGGCTAATGTAAGACTAGCTTATAAATCACCTGATACTATGTAAATACTATGTATCATCATTTTGGCTCTATTGTTGCCATTTTTCAACTTTTAAGGGATTTACACAGCCCTACACAGGCAGCAAATGCTATATACCTTTTAATAAATGTTTAATCAATGTTCATTAAGGGGTTTTGTTGTTTAATCCTTTCTTAAACTACAGCAGCTTATTGTGTGCTTAATATATGCTTGATGGGAGATGGTGTGGAGGGATTTCTGGTGTTGGGATAGTGGCCACCAGTGGCCAATTCATGTTGCAATCAAGGTTTAATTCAGTCTTAGGGGACAGTAAAGCCACAAATAGAAATCTGCAGGTTCATCCCAGCCCCAAGCTTACTAGGACTCTGAGAATTATGTAGCCCTTTGAGTGTGGAAATTTGGGTGATTTCCCTGCAGGCTTCACAGTTGGGGGGTTTCCACCCTGACAACTGCTTCTGGACTCTTGCTGAGACCAGGTGCTCAGAGCACTTAAGAGACAGCAGGTATGGGGAGGAGGTGGTGTCCCAGCTGAATCCAGGCAAGGCTGGAGGCTCACGTTTATGAAACAGCAGAGGAGGGGAGAGCAGCCCTGCTGGAGCACTCTTCCCTCTTCACTAACCCTTTCTGTTCTAGTGCCTCCTTTTCCCAAATTTCTCCTTTATAAAGTTAGGTTGGAAAACCCATGTCCAGTTGGCTCTGGTGTCCACATTCCAACCCTCCTGACCTCCACAGCATATTAGAAGACTCTATCGCATGTATTTAACAATAGACACTAGCCATTTGTGTTCTTTAAAAAAATGTGCCTAAGAATAAATGTCTGGAAAACACCACCAGAAAAATTTCCACAGGGTTCAGCAATCCTTGTTAACCATCTGACAATCAGCTTTAAATCTCAGGAGTTCTTAAAATTATATAATTTCCAGGCTGTTCCCTAAGTTGTAATGCACAATTTTATTGAGGAATTAATCAATATCTGATTGGAAGAGATTTTAACAATGTCATTATGCTCACTGTTCATATCTGATCCAGATGCTTATCCCTTCAAAGGACAGATTTCCCAATGTTTTCATAACGTGTTCTTTTGCTGACCCAATTCATCTGCTGTCGTACCAAGTAGCTCAAAAACTTCAGTAGTGTCTACTGCCTACATTTTTAAATCAAGAAAAGATAATGGATGAGAAATGTATGCAAATAACTAGATTAATAAATACTTATTTTTTTTTTAAAAGAAAGTTAGGCTAATTTTTTAAATTGGCTCAGAACTAGAGTTAGGAAACCTGAGAGACTGAAGTTACCATTTTTATTTTGACTTAACTTCGATGCATTAACTTCTCCTTTGGATTCTCACCAATCCTCCTTCGGACTTCTAAGTTTCTCTCTCTCCCTCTTTAAATATTCTCTCTGACACCAAGACTATGTGAGCTTCCTTAGCCTTTGGCTAGATTTTGACCAAAAGCCACTCTCGGGGAAATCAGACACAGGTCACAAGTTTTGAGACAGCACGAATTGTTTTGGATGTGTACCATCAACATTTCATCAGGAATCTCCAAATAAAGCTACTTATAACCTCTCATTAAGTTTAAATATCGCCCTCTGTCCTTGTCTACTTTCTTACATCATTCTACTGCCTCCTCCTTATTAAAAGAAATAATAAGAGAAGATGAGAGAGAGAAAAAGTGTTGCTTTTTCTTCCTTCCCAGGTGTTGGAGAATAGCACATGATCACTCCATTTTCACCGTCCGGAGCATCCTGTTACCTGTGGAAACAGGAACAGAGAGAGACAGCTCAGGCTTCAAGACTTCTCTAACAGGTGCTCCTCTGCGAGAAAAGTCACCTTGATGGGGCAGTGGTAGGTGGGGATACTTTTTCGCAGGGGGGCAGAGATTCTGTAAAACGCAGGCACCGTGAAGGCAAGGGTAAGAAGCCAACCTCTCTCTCTTCCCCTGCTCTGGCCTCCATGTCATTCTGTGAATGAGGTTGTTGCTTTTGGTGTGTTTACAGCCTGCACCCATCCGTGGACCAGGGCTGAGTCCACAGGTGGAGACCGAGTGACCGCAACAAATTAGAAAGGAAGGTGAAGAGTGGATGTCCTGCTAATTGGGGTTAGTTCTATGACCTCTCAGCAAATTAACTTAAATCAACTTGGGTGGAAGGGTACTGACACATGAATCTTGTAAGCAAACTTCGAAGCAGCACTACATTGAAATTGCAGCATTAAATTTCTAGACTGACTTCCCTTCACCCAGAAGTTGTTGTTTCTGTATTTAATGGTCATAAATCTTCGCAAAAGCTTTGAAACTGATAAAATTTCATTACCTCATTGTACTTCCTGCCTGTTGCCAAATGCTATCAATCCTATGTTGAAAACTTTTTCACATTTCCATGTCTTTTCCTTTACTCTCGAAGATAGGTTTTTGGTCATCCTGATTTGGTATTTGTTCCTAATTCCAGATTAAATTTACTCTCTGCTCCTTGCTACGTTCACTGATTCTGTTTGCAAGGGTGCACACTAAGTATCTTACACCAATTCTATTTTGTTGCACTGATCAGTGACTGGGAGTCTTATTTTGTGCCCTCTTAACCACTCTGATTTCCTAGGACTGCCACTTCCGGATCCCACAGCTCACTGCTCACCCTTGTATTCTACCCTTTCAGTATTGTTAAGGTCAGAATTCTCCTCTTTCCTACCCTCATCAATCCCAACTCTCTCTGGTCATGCTAGCAAAGCCTTAGTATTTATTCAGTGGTGGAGGCTTTCTACTCTGTTATTTTCCGTTGTTGATGTGAAAGTCCTCCTCCATTAGGTTTTCTCCATATTACAAGTACAATAACAGTATCTTCTCCATTACAGTGTGAACTTTGGGCCTTTAATGAATTATTTATCAGCCCAATAAGCTCATTCAAGAGCTTCTTAAATCCACCCCCTCTGTAGTCACTCTGAGAGCTCCTAAATTTTTTCTTTATGTTTACCAGTTCCAGCCTTACTTCTAACTCGGATTGTAATTTCCCTCCTTCAGGGTGAGATGCCAAGGATTAGAAGCTCCTTTCTCCATTTAGGAAACACAACAGAACGCGAACACTCAGACAGCAGAAGTGATGGTGTGCAGTCCTGCTGGAGGAGGAAAGCAGCTGTCTCCTTCCACTAGCTGCCAGCCCCTCCACCCAAGACCAAGCAACCAGGGAGGACACGAAGATATGCCTATGGACCCGTGGCTGTGTTGTACATGTGATGTGGATGTCCCCCAGGGTTCACGGTAGTTGAAAGCTTGACCCCCAGGCTGGAGCTCTTGGGAGGCCCCTAGGCATACAGGTTCTCATGGACGCCTTCATAGATCCCACAAAAATTTGCATTTGTTCCTCTGTCTGCCTCTCTCGCCTCCTGATTCGAGACACAATCACTTGCTTGCCTTCCCATTGTGATGTACCACCATCTATTTGCCCAGTTACCAAACCAATTACAGACTTTCAGCATTTTCTCTTTGAAGTCAGCTTCCTAAGGCATTTCATTACAAGAATGAAAAGCTGGCCAATACACTTCGCGCTATGCTAAGGAAGGAATCATTCCCACACAGTTTTCTGTATTGAGTGCCAACAGCACTTCGGTTTTGAAAGAACAGAAAAGCATGTGAACCAGTGATATGGGAATGGTAGGTGACTCTTCTGCCTTTCCTATGCACAAAATCAAGGCAGGGTTTCCATACATCTCTTTGTGCATGAAAACGAATCATGGGTATTCTGTAAGCCTACTGTAAGCTTTTCTTTTCTTTAAATTTTAAAAATTTAGTTATTTTATTTAAGATAAAAAAGACACTGAAAAGAAAAAACAACAACAAAAAAACCCAAATAAATAATACAATAATAGTACCAAATATAATAATAGTACAGGTTTACAAAACAAGATGATAGGAATTTGACAATGGTTGTGATATTGCATATTGTTACCTTTAAGAGGATTGTTTAGATTAACACATATAGGCATGTAAAATGGATCTAAGCATATGAGTATTAACTGTTTTTTTCCAATAACTAATACAATTAGTAGTAGAGTCATTTTAGCTATGATATATATATATATATATATATATGAATAAATATACACACACACACACACACACACACACACACAAATTTGTCTTTTTCCTTTTCCTTTTCTTTTCTCCTTTCCTTTATTCCAATTACTTTTCCTCTTTGAACAGTTTCTTACCCTCACACAGTATTTATTGTAGATTTTGGAAAATACATAATTTTTCAGTTTCTTTTTTTTTTTTCCGTCTTTTGAGACAGGGTCTCTCTGTGCAATGCAGGCTGGCCTTGAGCTCACTTTGTAGCCTAGGCTAGTCTCAAACTCACAACAATCCTCCTGCCTCAGCCTCCCGAGTGCTGGGATTAGAGGCATGAGCCACCACGCCCGGCTCAATTTTTCAGTTTCTTATACTAGGGAGACAATTTGGTATTTACACATGTGAGTTTGATTTATTTCACTTATGAGTATGATCTCAAGTTGCATCCACTTATAAAAGTCTCATTACAACCTTTCTTTATAACTGAGTAGTACTCCGTTGTATAAAAATACCACATCTTTTTTATCCATTCTTCAGTTGATGGACACTTAGGTTGTTTCCAAGATCTGACTATTACAAATTGTGCTGCTATAAACATGGCACACATATATCATGGTGGTATGATGTTTTCAGTTCTTCTGGGAAAATGTCCAGAAGTGGGATAGCTGGGTCAAACGCGACTTCTAATCCCAATTTTTTAGGAACCTTCAGATAGGTTCCCATGGTGGTTGCACCAGTCTACACTCTCACCAACAGTGCAGGAGAGTTCCTTTTCCCCACAGCCTCTCCAGCATTTGTTGTTGGTCGATTTCTTGATCTTGGCCATTCTTTCCAGAGATGGAATCTCAGAGTTGTTTTAATTTGCATTTCCCAAATGACCATATAGAAAATTTTCTCATATATTTATTTGCTGTTTGTATTTCTTCACCTGAGAAATGTGTATTCATCTCAAATGCCCATTTTTGGATTGGGTCTTGGAATTTTGGGGGCCTGATTTTTAAAAAATTCTACATAGAAGTCTTTTGTCTGAGGGACAATTTGCTAAGATATTTTCCCAATTCGTGGGTTTTCTTTACACTCTGCTGGAGATTTATTTTGACATGCAAAAACTTTTTAATAATAGGAGATCCCAGCTGTGGATTCTGGGAAGCGTTTCCCATGCAGTCTGATTTTTTTCATTAACTCTCCGCCGACCACTATGTCATCAAGATTTCTACCTACTTTGTCTTTCAGCAGATTTAGTGTTTCTGTTTTAATATTTTTACATCTTTGATCCATTTTGACTTTAGTTTATGGCATGGTGATAGACATGGATCTAGTTTTAGTTTTCGGCATATGAAGAGCCAGTTTTTCCAGCACCACTTATTGAAGAGCCTATCTTACTTCCAGTCAACTTGTTTGGCCCCTTTGTCAAAGACGAGGTGACAGTGTGTTTGCAGTTGTGGCTGAATCTTCAGATCTGCTCATTGATATTCAAGTCTGTTTTTTATCCCAATAACATGCTGATTTTATCACAGTAGCTTTGTAATATAATTTTAAGTAGGGGATTGTGATGCCTCCTGCCTTAGCTTTGTTGCCCAGAATTGACTTTACTATTCTAGGACTCTTCTGGTTCCAGATGAATTTTAGGAATGATTTCTTTAGATCTGTGAGGTATGCTAGTGGTATTTTGATTGGAATTGCATTGAATTTGTGTAATAGTTTTGGGAGAATGACCATTTTCACAATGCTTGTTCTTCCTAACCAGGACAAGGAATATCTTTCCATTTTCTGAAATCCTCTTCAATTTCCTTTTTCAGTGTATTGTAGTTTTTCACTGTAGAGATTTTTTTTTTCCTTCCTTTGTTTGATTTCTAAGTGTTTCATGTTTTTGGATGCTATAGTGAAGGGGGTGGTTTCCAGTATTTCTTTCTCAATGAGTTTGTTGTTTATGTACAGGAATGCTATTGATTTTTGAATGTTGACCTTGTATCCAGCTACATTACTGAATTTCATTATTATGTATAGGAGACTTTTAATGGAGTTTTGGGGGTCTTCTATGTAGAATATCACATCTTCTGCAAATAATGATAATTTAATATCTTCCTTTCCTATCCTTATTGTTTTTATTTCTCTTTCTTGTCTAATTGCTCTGGCCAATGTTTCCAGAACTATATTGAACAGGAGTGGTAATAATAGACCTCCTTGTCTTGTTCCTGATTTTAGATGGAAAGTTTTCAGTTCATTTATGTTGGCTGTTGGTTTATCATACATGGCTTTTATTAGATTGAGGTACAGACCATCTATTCTGATTTTCTGTAGAGTTTTTATTATGAACAAGTGTTGGATTTTGTTGAGAGCTTTTTCTGCATCTATTGACATGACCATGTGGTTCTTGTCATTGGCTCTGTTAATACGGTGTATTATGTTTATTGATTTGCTTATGTTGAACCATCTCTGCATTCCTGGAATGAATCCCACTTGATCATGATGTATAATCTTCCTGATGACTTGTTGCATTGTATTTACGTAGATTTTATTGAGGATTTTTGCATTTATGTTCATTAGAGAGATTGACCTATAATTCTCTTTTTTGGCTGGATATTTCTCTGGTTTTGGTATCAGGGTAATACTTTCTTCCAGGAGTGAATTAGGGAGGATTGATTCTCTTTCAATTTCACTGAAGAGTTTGAAGAGTGTTGGTATTAAGTCTTCCTTGAATTTCTTGTAGAATTCTGCAGTGAACCCATTAGGACCTGGACTTTCCTTTGTTGGTAGGGTTCTAATTAAATTTTGAATTTCATTAACTGAAAGAGGGTATTCAGCAGTTATACATCTTTTTTATTCAGCTCCGGTAATTCATATGTTTCTAGGAATCTGTCCATTTCTTCTGTGTTATCGAACTTATGAGAGTAAAGGTTTTCAAAGTAGGTATTGATGATCTATATTTCCACAGGGTCTGCAAAGATTTTAAACTTTTCATTTCTTACTGTATGGATTTGCACTTTTTCTTTACTCTTTTTAATAAGGTTGGATAGGGGTTTATCAAACAAGAACCACTTGTTTGATTCATTAATTCTTTGTTTTGTTTTCTTAGTTTTAATTCCATTAATTTCTGCTCTGATCTTTATAATTTCTTTCCTTCTTTGAGCTTTGGGCTTGACTTTCTCTTCTTTCTCTAGAAGTTTGAGGTGCAGCATTAAGTTGTTTATTTGTGTTCTTTCTATTTTCCTAATGTGGGAGTTTAGTGCTATAAATTTCCTTTTGAGGACTTCTTTCATTATGTCCCATAGGCTCTAATAATTTGTGTTTGTATTTTTGCTCCATTGTAGATATTGTTTAATTTTTAAAAATTGCTTCTGTGACCCATTGGTTGTTTAGAGGGGTGTTACTTAGTTTCCACATGTTTATGGGTTTTTTGTCATTAATTTCGAATGTATTGTGCTATAGGCAGGTAATATACATGGAATTATTTCAATTTATTTGCATTTACTTAAGCACGTTCTGTCTGTTAGTATATGATCTATTTTAGGGAATGACCTCTGTGCAGCTGAGAAGAATGAGTATTTTGATATTGTTTGGTGGAACACTCTGTACACTTCCACTAGGTCCATTTTTTCACAAGTTTGATTTAGTTCCGTTATTTCTTTGCTGATTTTTTTGTTTGGTTGATCTGTCTCTTTGTGACAATGAGATGTTAAGTTCCCCTATTTAACTATATTATTGTTTATTTGGTTTTTTTATGTCTATTAAAATTTGTCTTACATGGTTGAGTGCTCCCATATTTGGTGCATATATATTTATGATTGTAATCTCTCCCTCTTGAATTTTTCCCCTAACAAGTATGTAGCCATCTTCTTTATCTTTTTTGATCATTCTTAGTTTGAAGTTCACATTTTCGGCAAACAAAATAGCTACCCCTGCTTTTTTCTGGGTTCTTGTTGCATGGAGTATTGTTTTCCATTTTTTGACTTTTACTCTATGAATTTCCTTTTAAGTTGAATGTATTTCTTATCCACAGCATATTGTTGAATTTCATTTCTTAATCCACTCTGCCGGTCTTTTTCTTTTCATTGGTGAGTTGAGGCGATTTACATTGATGGTTATAACGGATAAGTACTGGCTTATCACTGTCATGTTATCTTCTGTTGTTGGTTTTCTACTTTTTCTGTTTAATTGTATGCCCTGCTTAGTGTTTTCCTTTTGTTGTTGTTCTTGGGACTGTAGTTATCTTTGTCTCTTTCTAGTGTGTCTTTCAGTACTGTTTGTAGTGTTGGTTTGCTGGCCATGAATTTCTTCAGTTGTTCTTTGTCATGGAAGTATCTTATTTCTCCATCTATTTTCAAAGATAGTTTTGCATGCTACATCTATCTAGGTTGAAAGTTATTTTCTTTCTTACTTGAAATGCTTCATTCCAAGGTCTTCTTGACTTGAATGTTTGTGTTGAGAAGTCTGTTGTGTTTCTGATAGGCTTTTCTTCATAGGTGATCTATTTCTTTTCTCTGATAGCTTTTAGTATTTTGTTCTTATGCTGAATTTCTGATATCCTAATTATTGTATGCCTAGGTGAAGATTTATTTTGGTTATGGTTACATGGGTATTTTATGCCTCACTTATCTGTATATTAGATTCTCTTCCTATGTTTGGAACACTTTCTGCTATTATTTCTGCAAATAGTCTTCACAGATCAATGTGTTGCCCCCTGCTTCTTCATTGACACCTATCAATTTCTCTTTGCATCATCTTGAAACAGGTGAATTGTTATTTCCTGGTTTCTTGTTATTTTTAAGAGATCGTTTCTTTCATGGTCATAATCTTCTATCCTGTCTTCAAGGTCTGATACTCTATCTTCAACTTCATTCAAATGGTTTTGCCAGCTTTCAATGGAATTTTTAGTTTCTTGAATATCCCTTTGAATCTGCTTCATGCATTCTAATTCTGTCTTATATTCTTCATTAAAAGTTTCCATCATTTACTTATGTTCCTCTGCTTTTTTATTTAGATTTTCTTTAGATACAGCATTTCTTTCATAATGTTTGTTGCTTCATTTTTTTACCTGAGAGATTATTCCTGACCTGATTTCTTCTGTAACTTTATGGAGTTGTTTCTTTACTTCATTTGCTATCATTTCAGAAAATTCAGTCATGCCATTTCCAGTGCCTTCTGTTTCAGTGTTTCTTGGGTTTGCTCTTAGTGGGTTGGAGGACTGAGACTGCCTCTCGCTCTTTGGTTTTGTCATTTTCCTCTGGGATCTGTGTGGCTGGTTAGGCACCCTCCTGATGGATTTCATTGGAGCACAGCACTGGGTAGAGTTTCAATCCTCTAACATCCCTGTGGCTACCTGGGGTGCACTTGCAACCTATGGTGCCAGATCCTTGTGCTCTGTGGTCTGTGGGGCTGGCTGGATGTTCTGCTGATATACTGCCCTGGGTTGTCATGCTCTGGGTTGCTGGGCTGGGCAGAGGTTGGGTCCTCTTGCTGCTAGGAGGGACACATTCTAGGAGTGTGTTGCTGGGGCCTAGAACCTGGTTAAGTGGAGTTGAGAACCTCTGGCACCCCCAGTGTGTCATCAGGGCCGAGCTCCTGGCCAGGTGGAGTTCAGAACCTCCAGGACCCACTGCACAACTAGCTGGGCTGCACCACTGAACAATGGAGCTGGGGCCTTGTGCTCTGACGGGCAGAGCTCAAATTCTCCAAGACCTGTTGTTCCCTGATGGGTGACTCTGGAGCTCTGGGCTGGGCTGGGCTTGGTACCTCTATGACAGTGAGGTTGGCTGGGTGTTTCCCTGATGGATTGTGCTGGGTTGCTGAGCTGAGCAGAGTTTGGATCCTCTGTGACTCTGGAGTTACTTTTCTCACAAAAGGATATTTGGTGGGCAGTGAGGTGAGACGAGGGAAGGAAAATAAAATTTTCTTTTTTTAAATCAACTAAATTAAGATTATTATTTTCTGGTGGAGAAGCAACACAGTTCTACCCATCTAAAATTAGAAAGCTTAGCTCCCTGACATGTCCTAAGACCTTACCTAAATGAGAATTCCAGCTTCAAGTATAACATGTGATTTTATCTAGTGAAGGCTTCATTAAGATTGAGAAACAAACTAATAGAAGATGGATAAGAACTCATCTGGGAACGCACTGCAGAGATTAGTAGCACTAATAAGGTCACCTGGATCCATTTCCTTCAAAAAGGAAGTCCACATCATTTTAACAGCTTGTGTCCTGCAAGTTCTCACCTGTGTGAAGGGAGATTACAAAAACATTTTTAAATGCTTGAGATGATAATACCTTCTCTAAATCTTGAGGTTTCTAAGTGAGATCTAGCTTTCAAGTTAAGTGAGATGCTGTTCAGGGGAGGAGAGGAAATAATTTGATGGCGCTCTCTGACTATCAGCTTGACCCAGGCTTTTCCTTTGCTACTTTGGTGAGACTTATCAGAGTGCTTTGGACAAAGTCATCACACACCATTTCCTTCTGTTTGGGCTACTTTTTCTTTTGTGTCTAATGAGGAATTGGGAAAGGATAAGGAAAAAGTGTCTTTGCACAACAGAGACATTCACTGACCCCATTTCCAGTGGTTGAGCCTCTCTCCAAGTAGGAAGAAGCTGACAGTCGAGATGTAGCTGAGAAAGAAAAAGGCTGCGAGGCCCACAGGGCTGAGTTTTTCCAACACAGGATACACCCAGTGACCTGTCTTTGAGTACAACCACAGGATCCTGCAGAAAACAAGAGTCACAATGATTAGGACAGTGGAGGCCACCATGCCATTTGCTCTTAACCAACCATGAAAAATGAGTGTCAACAGCTGAAATATTTCCAAAAATCTACTGAAGCGAGTGCTTCCCTGGTAAATTTACTTGACTTCGTAAGACATCTTGTTTCATGAGGCATTTTCCTCTGATGCATTAGAATCAGTATTGGTGAAAGCATACAGGAAAACACACAACACTTTGTTAGGCAAAGACAGTGTGTGAGCACATGAAGAAATCATTCCTCTCCCTGAAGTGTACAGCTTGCTGAGACATTGAGCCCACTGGATGCTAGATGGTGCCCATGTGGTGATTCCTAACCAAAGCAGTGAGGTTTGCTTTTTATTTATTTATTTTTTGGTGTCTAACAGTAAGGACCAGTCTTCTATCTATTCTCCAAATCCTGCTGGAATAGGATAAAGCATAATGCCACTGCCCTAATACAGTATACTTGAGACTTAGTGTTGGCCCTGATACTAGCTCATGCATATAATCACGGATTGAGTGTTAACTAGGAATGGATGGGCTTTGAGGGACGCTCAGATCCTGCTCATATTAGGATAGAATGTAAGTCACTTCTGTGAGCCAAGAGAAGGAAAAGAAATGCTAGGAGAGAAGCTGTGATATCTAAGTGGGAGTCTGAAAAATGCAGTTTGCTGGAAACCAACTGCATTGGAAGATGCCAAAGTCTGAAATAACTTATGAGTTATATATGGGAAAGATGTTGCATCAGCTACATTTATAATTGGTTAGGAATACAGAATCTGGAGCCAGGTTTCTGGGATACAAATTCTAGTTTGACCACCTATTAAATATGTCATCCCTGCACTTAATTCAACCTATCTGTTTACGAAGTGGTAATCTAAGCAGCGTGTAACTTCTAAGGTTGTTGTAAAAATTAAGGTTGTTCACATGCATTAACTGCACACATATGGTATATGTAAGACACATAGCATACTGCCTGGTAGTAATCATTTGACAGGAGCTCACCTCTGGGCATCAAATCAACAGAGAGCAAAGGCTATCGATGGAATGGGAAAATATTTGCAAAACAGGTATCTAATAAGGAGTTGATATTCAGGGTATAAAACTTGCTCATGTAACTCAACAAAAGCCATTAAGCAACTCAAAAATAGCCCAAGATTCTGCCTACGCATTCTACAGACAAGATATACAAACAGCCAAAAAGTGAGTCAGAAGGTGTTTAGCATCATTAGTAACTGGGAAAATGCAAGCAAAACCACAGTGAGATACCATATCACTTATATGTATTAAGGTGATTGCAATTTTTGAAAACACAGAAAATAACAAGTATTGGGGAAGACATGGAGAAACTAGATTCCTCGGGCAGTTCTGGTGAGAATGTAAAATGGTACACACACTATGGAAAACTGCAAGGCAGGTCATCAGAAACTTCAAATAGAATCATCATACCATCCAGCCATTCCACTCCTGGGGATGTACCCAAAGGATCTACAGCAGGGACTCAAAGATATATTTGCACATTCATCTTCATAGCAATTTTTTAGACATTAGCCAAAAGGCAGAAATAACCCAAGTGGTCATTGTGGATGACTGGGTCAACAGAATGTGGCACATACTGTACACACTCATTAAAACAGAAACACATTCTGATGATGCTACGGCCTGGGTGAAGCTTGAAGATACTGTGCTAAGTGAAATAAGCCAGTCACAGAAGAGCATATACTGTATAATTCCACTTGTATGAGGAACCATTTGTGTCAGCATCAGAGAGACAGAAAGTACAACGGGAACTGTTAAGGGTTGCAGAGAGGGAGTAGCTTAGTCATTTTCCTTGTTACTCTAACAAAATACCCGACACTCATGATGGAGAGGTTTGTTTGGCTTGCATTTCAGTCTGGTCAGCTAACTCAAAGAAGAAAGAGCACGGCAGAGGGGCTCACATGATGGTGTCCAGGAGGTAGAGAAAGAAAGGAGGCACCAGGAGGGAGATTTACTTCCGGGCCACGCCCTCAGTGACCTGCTCTTCCCACCAGGCCCCAACTCCTAATGGCACATTTAGCTACAGCAACCCACAATTCAATATGCGGAGATGTCTAGCTGCAAACCATAACAGGAAAGATGGGAGTTCATGTTAATGGGTTCAGAGTTTTAGTTTGGGAAAAAAAGCAAACTTTTGGGGATGGATGGTGGTGATAGTTGTACAACAGTATGAATACACTTAATGCCAATGAACTACTCAGCTGACATGGTGAAAACGATACATTTTATGGTATATATTTCATTGCAACAAAAATGGGAGGAAGCCTCAGTTCTAGGGTCATACAAGTACATTCAATGGTTGGTCCTGGTTTTCTGGTATTAGTTTGTTCTCACAAAACCTGTGTGGATGCATTTTCCAAACTGATAATGAAGTCACTCTAACAAATCCCATTATTATTATTACTACTAGTGTTAAAATTCTTTAATTTTTTAAACAATTTATGGTCCTGGGGATTGAGGCCAGAGTTTCATACATGCTAGGAAAGCATTCTAATGCTGAGCTACATCCCCTACCCCTGTTCAATATTATTTTCAGATAGGATCTTCCTAAGCTGCCCAGACTGGAATTTGTGGTCCTTGTGCCTCAACCTCCAGAGTAGAGATTTATAAGTGTGCTTAGAATTCTCTCTCTGTGTACATACCAGAGATGTATTATAGGATATTTACAGTGCTCTTTGCCTACCTCACTGCTTATCATGATAGGACAGAGAAACTACAAAAGGCAGAAGCTCGATATCCTCAAGTAGATGAAGTTAGTGGGTTGGGTAGCAAGATCAGAACATGCTCCATAGAGGTTTTGTCAATTAGTTTCCCTTGTTTACATACTGAAGCTGAGACTTCCAATTCCCATGCACATTTATATAAGATAGTCTACAAATAAGGCCATCTCCCTAGACTGTTCATGTTTGTTTCTTTCAGCATAAAGCTCTTGGAGGGAAGTTCCTGAGGTAAGTGAATGAATTGGCACTTTTCACAGAGAAAGTACCACAAAAGTTATAGATGTGTTAGCTGACAGTGGAAGAAGGAATGGAGATACAATATAATGCAGGGCACTTAGCAGAGAGCACCGGTGGGGAGAGTCCCAGGAGATAGCAGTTCTTTAAGGCTTGCTCAAATATACAGGGGGAAGGATAGAAGGAGAGAAGGAGAAAGGGAGAGACAGAAAGGAGGCGGCCAAGAAGGAAGGGAAGGAGGAGAAGAGAAGGAGGGCAGGGAAGAGAAAGAGAATGAGAGAGCAGGAGGGAGGAAGAAGAGAACCTGATACTTCCAGCCACCAAGTAAAAGTCCATTTCTCAAAAGAGACCTCCTGGTACTGCTTCCCTCACCCCACTGGGTTAGCTTCCTTGGCCATGTCCTTCCCATCCTCCAAGACATTGTCCTTGCGGTTAACTGGGACGCTTTCCTTGCCTGCCTAGAAGCTCCTCCATGCCACAGCTGGGATCTGCCATGCGCTTCCCTGTTCCAAGTCCCTGGGACGCAGACAGCTCTTTCCATTGTTAAATGAATGGTGGTTTCGGCCACTCTGATGGGAAATGTTTTTTTTTTTTTTTTTTTTTTTTTTTTTTTTAATATTCACAAAAATTGCAGACAGCTCCCAGCTGCCAACCCACCATGGCCACTGCAGCCTTTGAAGATTGAGAAATGTACCCAGTGGCTTTCCCACTGAGGTCACCTTAATACTTTGAGGAAACCAGCATCCTGCCCCTCCATTCACGTGACAGGAAGGTGACCTGTGTCTTTTTTAGCTGTCTACCATGGGAATCTATGGGAGCCAGGCTGAATGGACACCAAACTTTAGCCAAAAGCTAATCTCCTAGAGGCTTCTCCTGCTAAATCTCACAGCACCAAAATGGTCGTTATGAAATTCGGATCTTTTCTGTTTTATCAGTAGGAAAATACCAGAACTCTGGCGTTAGAGGTAAGTAGATGACAGAATGTTGTGGGTTTTGGGATGTAATTCTTGAAGTGTTAACACTCATGTCATATTTGTCTAGCCCCATAGAATAAATCAGGTAAGAGGAGTGAAGTGCTAGGGTTTGGATAAAATTTGTCTCCTCCACCCTCTGCAAACTCACACAGGAGTGTGATGCCCTAAGTTTTGTGTCAGTGGTATCAAGTGAGTGAAAATTAAACTGACTGTGGGGTTTAGAGATGTGGTCTTTGGGAAGTGACGAAATTAGATGAGATCAGTAGGGTGGAGCCCCTCAACTGAGTTCTGGTGGCTTGGACTGGGAGAGAGATTACACAGACACAAAGACTCACCAGACTCCCACGAGGATGTAATGAAGTCATGGAGGCCTTTGCCAAACCTATGCTGCTGTTTGAACTCTGCAAAAGTATAAGCTAAATAAACCTCTTTCTTTATAAAGTAACTTGCCTCAGTTATTTTGTCATAGTAATAAAAACCTGTCTAACACAAAAAAAGCAAGAGTGTTAGATAGGTAGTTTGCCTGGATACTGATATCAGCCATGAAGAGAGCTGTTGTGGTGGCAAACTTTTCATGGAAATTTAAAACTGTGACCCAAGGCCTAGGGACACAGAGCATAGAGCACTTGCCCAATATGTTCAAAGCCCTGAGTTCAGTTCTCAGCAGTCAGTCAGTCAGTGGTCCAATCTCTCCCTGAATTCTCTCCAGGGAATTCTTCCTTTAGAATCATGGCCTACTTGTCCAGTCTTGTTTTTTAGCCCTCAGTCAATTTCTGCTTCCTTTGCTGTCCTCTTGCCCTAACCTGTCTGTTAGATAAGGGCATTTTCCCAGAATTTTCTTCTGAATTCTGTCCTCTTCCTTTTATTCCTCCTCCACTGTCTCTACCATAATTTCAACCCACCATGAGGGTCTGCCACTTGGATTTCCCTAAAGCCATCTCTCTTAAGATCACCTGGTGTGCACTTCCAAATGGGAGCTCTGTGAGAAGGTGCTTCTCAATTTTGACTAAAGATT